CTGGTTTTTTGAAAAGATACATAAAATTGATAAACTTTTAGCTAGACTAAAAAAGAGAGAAGATTCAAATAAAATTATAAATGAAAGATGAAACATTGCATTTGATACACAAAGGATCATAAACATTACTATGAATAATTATATGTCAACAAATTGGATAACCTGTAAGAAATGAACAAATTTGTAGAAACATGACCGACCTACCAAGACTGAATCATGAATAGAAAATTTGAACAGATCAGTAACAAATAAAGAGATTGAATCAGTAATCAAAAGTCTCCTAACCAAAAAAAAAACAAAGACCAGATGGTTTTTCTGGTGAATTCTACCAAGCATTTAAATAATTACCACCAATCCTTCTCAAATTCTCCTAAAAAATTCAAGAGGAGAATTTCATGAGACCAGCATCACGGTGATACCAAAGCCAGAAAAGGACACTACAAGAAAAGAAAACTAATACCCTTGATGAATATATAGTAAGTTCTCACTTAACGTTGTCAACAGGTTCTGTGACTTTAAATAAAATGACATATAATGAAACCAACTTTACCATAGACCTATTGATATAAACAAGAGTTAAGTTTCTACAGCATCTCATCAACATTATAACAAAATGATGTTGAACAGAACGACATTATTCAAGGACCTGCCATGGATGCAAAAATTCTCAAAAAAATATTAACAAACTGAATTCAATGACATTTTAAAAAGATCATACACACCATGATCAAGAGAGATTTATCCCTGGGATGTAAGGATGCTTCAACAAATGCGACTCAATAAATGTGATAACCCATTAATAGAATGAAAGATAAAAATCACATATCAATAGATGTAGAAAAAGCATTAGACAAAATACAACATCCTTTCACAATAAAAACTCTTAACAAATTGACAATCCTGGGTATAGAAGGAACATACCTAAACATGAAAAAGGCCATATATATAACAAGCCCGCAGCTAACATTCTATGCAATGGTGAAAGGCTAAAAGCTTTTTCTCCAAAATCAGGTACAAAACAATGATTTCCACTCTCACCACTCCTATTAAACATAGTAGTTGAAGCCCTAGCCAGAGCAATTAGGCAGGACAAATAAATAAAGGCATCCAAATGAGAAAGGAAGAAGCAAAATCGTTTTTATTTCCAGATGACATATTATATGTAGAAAATCCTAAAGACTCCAACAAAAAAGTATTCGAACTATAAACAAACTCAATAAAGTTGCAGAATACAAAATCAAGATACAAATATCAGTTGCATCTCTACACAATAAAATGTCTGAAATAGATAACAATAAAATATCTGAAAAAGAGATAAAGACAACAATCCTATTCACAATAGCATCAAAAAACAAATTTAATCAAGGAGGTGAAAGATCTGTAAACTGAAAACTCTAATTTTGATGAAAAAAACTGAAGACACAAACAAATGGAAAGATATCCTGTGTTGTTCATAGATTAGAAAAATTAATATTGTTAAAATGTCCATACTACTCCAAGACTGTCTATAGAGTAAGGCAATCTCTATCAAAATTCCAATGGCATTTTCCAGAAAAATAGGAAAAACAATCTTAAAATTTGTGTAAAACCACAAAATATTTTGAATACCTAAAGCAATCTTGATAAAGAAGAGCAAAGCTGGAGAGATCTTACTTCCTGATTTCAAATTATACTACAAAGCTATAGTAATCAAAACTGTATGGTATTGTCATAAAAATAAAAACATAAACCAATGGTACAAAATTGAGAGCCCAGAAATAAACTCTCAATATATATCAACTAATATTTGACAAGGGAGCCAAGAATAGTCAATGATGAAATGATAGTCTCTTCAATAAATGATGCTGGGAAAACTGGATAATCACATGTAGAAGAATGAAAATGGACCCTATATTACACCACTCACAAAAATTAACTCAAAATGGATTAAAGAGTTAAGCATAAGACCCGAAACCATGAAACTCCTAGAAAAAAAAACATAGGAAAGAAGCTCCTCAACATTGGGGTTTGGAAATGATTTGTTTGGATATGACACCAAAAGCACAAGCAACAAAACCAAAATAAACCAATGAAACCACATCACACTAAAAAGTTTCCGCACAGCAAAAGAAACAATCAGCAAAAAGGCAATCTAAAGAGTAGGAGAAGATATTTACAAATCGCATATCTGATAAAGGGTTAATATCCAAAATATATAAAAGACTCATACGAGTCAATAACAAAAAAAAAAAATTTAATGGGCAGAGGAAACAAATAATAGACAGTATTCCCAAAGAAGTCATACAAATGGCCAACAGGTACATAAAAAGATGCCCAATATCACCAATCATCAGGAAAATGCAAATCAAAATTACAATGAGATATCACCTCATGCCTGTTAGAATAGCCATTATTAAGAAGATAAGAGATAAATGTTGGCAAGGATGTAGAGAAAAGGCAATCCTTGTATACTGTTGGTTGGATTGTAAAGTGGTGCAGCCACTATAGAAAACAGTATGGAGATTCCTCAATAATTTAAAAATAAAACTACCATATGATCCAGCAATTCCACTTCTGGGTATATATTTAAAAGAAAAAAATCAGTACCCAAAGAGATATCTGCACTCCTATGTTCATTGCAGCATTCTTCACAATAGGCAAAAGATGGAAACCACCTAAGTGTCTGACTATGGATGAGTAGATAAAGAAAATATTACATATGCATGTGTGTATTCAGCCATGAATATTATTCAGCCATGAAAAAGAGGAAATTTTACATTTGCAACAACATGGATGGAACTTGAGAGAATTATGCTAAGTGAAATAAGTCAAATACCGTATGATTTCACTTCTATGTGGAATTTTAAAAATCCAAACCTATAGAAACAGAGAGCACAGTAGTGGTTACGAGGGGCTAGAAAGGTGAGGGGACCGGGGAGATGTTAGTCAAACAGTATAAACTTTGTTATAAATAAATAAATTCTGGAGATCTAATGCACAGCATGGTGATTATAGTTAACACTATTTTATTACATACTTGAAAGTTGCTAAGAGAGTAGATCTTAAATGACCTTACCACAAAAAAAGAAATCTTAATTATGTGAATAGATGGAGATGTTAACCAATACTACAGTGGTAATAATCTCTCAATATAGAAGTATATCAAACCAACTCATTGTATACCTAAAATTCACACAATACTATAATCCGATTATATCATAATAAAGCTGAAAAAATAAAATAATAAAAATAAAAATATTGTGATGCTTTAATGATAAACAAAAATAATGAAGATTCCAAAAGCGGATTAACAACAAAAAGTCTTTAAGAGTCTGAGGATCTTAGACTGGAAGCCACTGCTCCATGTGAACAAATGAATGAACAAACAAGTGAAAGAGGGAGGGAGGGAAGAAGAATGAAGACAGCTAATAATTGTAAATTAATCAGTGAAAGTTTATTTTATTAATCCATTTGTCAACTTTAGGGTGTCAGATCCAACAAGATACCAACATGGATTCATGGTGATCCCACCTCTAATCAGATTTTATTTTAGCTCACTGACCGTATTATCAACATCATCCTGAAATACTCTGAACTTCTGACTTAATTTTGTAAATAATTCAGTTATCAGTCACCATACACACTCCTTAGTAAAAGGAATGGTGCTAGGAAAGAAAATAACTACAGGGATAAAAGTTTTGTATTTGGCTCAGATGAGACAAAAGTAAACAATAAATAATATTTTTAAAGAATTATGAAAATAACAATGTCAGAGTAAACTTAATGTAGCTGCTGATGCAAATTGAATAGACACCGTTTACTAGTAAGTAGGCTGATACATAACAACTGTAGCTTTAATTTCATAAAACAGAGTTGAAATTCACTAGAGCTTTGCAGCCTTTGTGGGTTCCCTTTATGCATTGTTTTTCATTTTCTTTTTTTTCTCCTTAATAATAAATTTAGCTAATCCAATTTAAAATAATAATAATATTTTTAGCAGACGAATGGCTTTTGACATAGTTGTCTATTCATGTCTATCAATTTCTTACAATCTCAGCTCTATTTCCTCCATTCTTTTGTGAAAATGCAGAACGTCATTCAAAGCTGATTTTGGTGGGGAGGGAATGATACCTGAGTTTGTCGTAAACGTTGAAAGAAGAGGGCACATGAAGAGGGTGCGTAAGAGGAAAGGGTAGTATTCTAGGCAGCAGAAGCAAACACAGAGTATTCAAACATTTCCAATGATTTAGTATGACTGGAGCTAAGGTGACAGGGCTAAGGGATGGGAAAAGAGGCCAGATCATTAATACTTTATTAAATGATGCTAAGATTTTCCCTCCAGAAAGCAACAGGCTGCCTTTAATAGATTTTAGGTACAGTAATAATGATCAGCTATTTTTTTTAGAAAGTTCACTGAGGTAGCACTGAGAAGACGGTCTGAAAGAGGAGAAAATGGAATCAGGGAGGTGAATCATAAAACCGTTGAAGAGTTTAGAACAGGCAGGAGAAGCATTTAAGTGACTGAAGCTGTAAAAGCCTCACTCAAGATCCCTCCTACACAGAAAGACTTTTCTGATTACATTAGTTTTCAATGCCAATCTCCCACCCCACTTCCACCGAAATTCCTAGAGCACTTGTGAAATCTGAGGCCCAAATTTTGGCACTTATCTTTTATTTTATTCCCCAATTGTTTCCGGTAGCACATCACTCGTCTCCCTAGTTTAAACACTGCAATCAACGTTTATGGAATTGAAATGGCTTGTAAAGTCGTCCAAGGCCAGATAATGCACAGGGCCGCGTCGGGCGGTCAGGCCCAGTCCACTGCCTGCAGCACGCAGAGGGTTGATTGTAATTTCACCCTCTGGCTGAACAAACTGTCGCCTCCTTCCAGGACCTAGCAGGTTATCTTAACTGTGGCTTGAAATGCCAAACACTACTCTGTTAGACCCGCTACAACCACCAGGGGGCGCGTCTTCCCGAGTTTCCTTAACATTCAGTTCTCAAACAGGGCAAAGGAACGGTGACATATTTGGGCCTTCTGCGGCTGCCGTAGCCCCAGACGGTAAACAGGAAATGGGACTCTATCTGGGACTCAATATTCGGGTGAAAAAGACCCGGGATTCAGTTGAGACGTCTACTGCTGCTTTTGCGTACACTTTCAGGGTGTACCGTCCTCCATCTCCACTGTTTGCCTCTCTCTCCTGTTCCTGTTCCAATCAAGGTATTTTGTCTTGAGCCACCTCCCACCTCTTTATCGAGAAGTGTCACCAGAACCATGGCTGAATACTCCTATGTGAAGTCCACCAAACTCGTGCTCAAAGGAACCAAAGCTAAGAGGTAAGGCCGGAAGTTTGTGCGGAAAACTCTTACGCTCTTTTCTGACCAGCCTCAGCTCTCTGGCCCTCCTGGCGAGTCTCACAGAAACCTTAAGGAGCTGTCATGTAGGCTCAACCTTGGCCCCGGCCGCTTGCGGGTTGGTGAGCAGATGCGGCGGCTCAGTTTCTGCGTCTCTACAGAGCTGGGGAGAAAGGCCGCAAAGACATGCCCTAGCTGTCGCGTCCTGAAAAGGGAAGTGACGGGAAAAAGAGACCAATAGCCCAGGAGCCACAAGTTTGACTCCTCTGATGCACCCCCGCCCCGCCTTGTTGTGGGTCTGCTAGTCTGATAACTTAGGGCATAACAATAACTTTCTTTATTAGGGATAATTATTTTCATTATTGTCTCCTTTCCCTCTGAAAAGTTTTCTGTTAATTTTAATGCATTATTTTGATGGGGCTGTGGACTCGAATCTGGACTCCACCAATTACTAATTTTGTAATTTGCGGCAAGTTTGTTAATATCTTTGAGCTTCTATTTACTCGTTGATTTAGGGGATTAATGATGCTCTAAAAGGATTATTATGAAGATGAAAGGAGATAACTTGTGCAGTGTATAGAGTGATTCTTAGTTGTTGGTTTTTTTCCTTTTTTTTTTTTTTTAGGAAAAGATACCTGCCCATTTATATTTACACCTCTTTTTAATTAGTAGATTTGTTCAGAGTTGATTGATCTTACAAAGGTTGAGCATTTCCTCCTGGTCTCAGTGATAAACAGTTTTTGGTACTTTTAGGTGAGATGGAAAGTGAGGAGCAAGCTGAAGCCATGCCCTTGAGAACTCTGCCTAAGACTGGAGTCATGAGTTTATCCTGAGTAAATTTGAAACTTTTACTCTGAATTTTACTGGTGGGGATGGGAGAGTTAGCTTCTGAAAATAAGCTTTATGATGAAAATGCAAACAAGTATGTTTTATAATGATCATAACTTGATCATAGTTAAGACATATATAGCTTTTTTATGTGCCAAGAACTTTCTAAGCACTTTGTATATTAACTTTTTTTAAATCTCCCCTGGGATTATTTTTTATTATTAAGATATAATTCATATACTATAAAATTCAACCTTTTAAAGTACAATTCAGTGTTTTTTGGTATGTTCACAAGGTTACTATCACTACCCAGTAGCTGAGCATTTTCATTATCTCCAAAGGAAACCCTTACATCCTCCCACCAGTCCCTGGCAATGACTAATTTACCTTCTGTCTCTGTGGATTTGCCTATTCTGAATATTTCATATAAATGGAATCATATATGTGGCCTTTTGTATCTGGCTTCTTAGCATAACATTCTCAAGGTTGATCCATGTTGTAGTATGTATCAGTACTCATTCCTTCTATGCTGAATAATATTCTATTGTATTGGATATAACTTATTTTGGTTATCCATTGGTCAGTTGATAGACATTTGGGTTTTTCCACTTTGGGACTATTATGAATAATGCTGCTATAGGTATACAAGTTTTTGTGTAGACATATGTTTTCATTTCTCTTGGTTATATACTAAGAGTAAAACTGTTAGGTGATATGGCAACTCTGCATTTAACTTTTTGAGGAACCCCAAAGCAGCTGCAGCATTTTATATTCTCACCAGCAACATATGAAGGTACATATTAACTCTTAATCCTCAAAATAACATTGAGTTAGGTTAAATTATTATTCTCATTTTACAGGTAGGGAAACTGACTCAGAGAGAAATTAAATAACTTTTCCAGAAATCAGAGAGCTAAGAAGTGACAGAATAAGGATTTAAAATCAGGCAGGCTGGCTCCAGACTCTGTTCTCTTAACTATAATACAATATGTACAGGATCAGAAGGGACTTCTGCATATTAAAAAGGTAGATCAATGCAAATCATTATAAATCAATAATTTATAAATTAATGTACAACTTAAAAGATTCTTCTAAGATTCCATCTTGTGATATTTAATATGCAAATCAACGTATCTAAACTCATCTATATAAATTATCTCTTGTAGTAAGAAGAAAAAGAGCAAAGAGAAGAAGAGAAAAAGAGAAGATGATGAAGAAACCCAACTTGATATTGTTGGTGAGTCAGTTTTCTATACTTTATTCTGAGAAAAGTTAACATTGGTTGAGATCCCTTTAAAAATATTTTCTTAGAGATGTGTAATAAGAAGAAAATAGAAAGAATTTATGGCCTATTTATATTTGTAGTATAATGCTCAAGTATTATTTATGGTTATAGATTTATTTTGTAGCATGGTAGATGCCATTGATGCCTTTCTTCATTATGAGAATAAAGCACAGGAGAGAGGAAACATAGCTCTCTGATTTAATAGATGCCACTAGACTAATTTAACCCAGAGATTCTGAGATATAATTTTAAAGGCCTAATATAGATAAATATTATTTAACCAAATATATTTTACAAATTACAGTAAATCCTTACTTATCTTGTCAATAGGTTCTTAGAAACTGCAACTTTAAGCAAAATAACAGTATGACAAGATCAATTTTACCCTAAGCTAATTGATATAATCTAAAGTTAAGACCCTACGGCATATTTCTGGTCACAAGAACATCACCATACTTCTAAATAAAAACCCAAAACACTTCTAATAGTAAACATTGAAATAAATATGAACTATATATACATTTAAGAAAAATTAATAAAAACAAATAAGATATTATTTTCCAACCCGGGACGGGATGTCCTTCCATTGCAGAGCGCACTCACACCCACACCTACACTCACACTCACACTCACTCAGACTGGGACAACATACATGCCAGTTCACCTCATATGCACATCTTTGGGATGTGGGAGAAAATCCTTGCATACATGCCAACTCCACACAGACAGTGGCCCTGACCCGGAATCAATTTTTTTTTCTCACCAATGTTAGAAACATTATTCGAGGACCTACTGTATTTTTTTTTTTTGAGCATATATATATATTTTAATCGTAGGCGCCAGTGATTTGTGTATCTTTAAAAGAAATATATTCACAGTAAAAATAATTATTTTGTATACTGTGAAATGAATGAAAATCTTAAACAGAACAGAATCAAGATAGCCTGTAAATGGTACCAGAAATAAACTGACCCAAACACACTTAAGCGACCTGTTTTCCATTTAGTCCTTCTATCTTTTCCAACCTTTACTTTAAAACAATTATTTCTCTTTCAAAACTTAGCAAGTTTCATTTTTGAAATTTCATAAATTATGGGTCCTTTACATTTTATGTGAAACTGTATAAAGCTAATATTCTAGAAAGTTTTAACATATTTTTGAAATAACAAATCAATTCTAAAATTAGGATAAATATCTTGAGTAGGTAGATATCTAGGTATAAAATTTCTGTGTCAAAGGATAGGTGAATATTTACCTATAAAGGAAATTGCCAGCGATTTTCAAAAGTGGTTTTACCATTTTACACTCCAACTAAGAAAGTATTAAAATAATGTTATCAGTCTTTTCTCTCAGTCTGTGGTTTGACTTTTCACTTTTTTAAAGGTTTTGTTTTTGATAAGCAGAAGTTTTTAATTTTTATAAAGCCCAATTTTTTTTCTGTTATGACTACCACCCTATTTCTCCATTCTAAAAAATCTTTGCTTTCCCCAAGGTCACATAGATATTCTTGCACATTTTCTTTTAGAGGCTTCATAGTTTGGGTTTTTACATTAGATCTGTGACACATCGCAAATTAACTTTTAGTATATTGGATGGTAGGGTTCAGGGTTCTTTCTTTTTTTCCCCCCATATTTGTATCCAGTTGTTCCAGCATCACTGTTGAATAGACTTTCCTTTCCCCATTAAACTGCTTTGGTATCTGTCAAAAAAACAGTCGACTTTATATGTGTTGGTCTGTTTCTAGACTCTGTTCTATTGGTTTGTCTATTCTATTGATATATTTGTCTTAATTACTGTCACTTAATAAAGTCTGGAAATTAGATGGTATGAGTCCTCAAATTTATACTTTTCAAAATTTTTTAGACTGTTCTGGGTCTTTTGTATTTCCATATAAATTTATAATCAATTTTTCACTTTCTACAATAAAACCTGTTGGATTTTCTGGGGGAATTGTATTAAATCTAGAACATTTGGTTAAAGTTGATATAACAGCATTGACTCAATAATTTGCAGTTTTTAGTATAGGAGTCTTGCATGTCTTTTCTAAATTCTTATGTATTTTATAATTTTACACTACTGTAAGTAGAATGTTTAAATTTTATTTTCCAATTGTTTGCTAGTAGTATATAGATATACAACTGATTTCTGTATATGGACCCTGTAGCCTGAGATTAATTTAATGGATTGTGTCAGTGTCCTGGTTTTGATATTGTACGAACATATCAAACTTATGTAAGATGTTACCATTGAGAGAAAGTGAGTTAGGGGTATATAAGACCTCTGTATTATTTTCTTAAAACTGCAAAATAAAGTTTTTAGAAAGTAAGTTATAACATTAACAACAGCAACAAGTAAGAATCTTGTGCCAAATCTAAAATATGAATTTTAAGTATTGATTTTATTTTTTAGGAATTTGGTGGACAGTAACAAACTTCGGTGAAATTTCAGGAACCATAGCAATTGAAATGGATAAAGGAACCTACATACATGCCCTTGACAATGGACTTTTTACACTGGGAGCTCCACATAAAGAAGGTTTGTGTGAGAGCATTTGAGATCTTGCTCCCCTGCATCTGTCGTCCATTTGGCTCAAATAAACTCTTGCAAAAAAATTGAAAAAAAAATGGTTTGTATCCGGTAGAAGCAATGGCCATTTAAAGTATACATTTTATTAAAATTGTTCACTTAGGCCATATTCTAACTAATGTGAAGTATATTTCGAAGAGATGAATTCTTTGCATTTGATTCTTCCACTTTTTGTCTTCCTTTGTATTTATCAATTATTGGCAACTCCTTCTTTCCAGTATAAGCATTTGAAAACATTCTTTATAGTTTCAGAGGTGTGTCTATGGAAATCAAAAACAACACGATGATTCAAATAATATATGGAAAGAAAAAACCTGGCTGAGTCAAAGTTTTGAATTCCTTATTATTCAGACTTTTTGCTAAAACTAACCTGGAACATCGTCAACAAGTTAAAGTTTTTCATTCCCTTTAGCCCATCAGAGGGAGCATTAATGAGATATGAAATAATTAGAAGTAATTAGAAGATAAAAAGTCATATATTTTGTTTTGAATGACCATCCCATGAATAAAGCATTTCATAATTTAAATATTAAGTGCTTATCTTTCTGTGTACTGACTGCATTTTAAAACACAAAGGTATCTTGGAAGTAAATAAATATCATGCTGACCTATCTTATTAAGTTTGTAAAACTAACGATAGTGATAGAAGATAAAGTAGATCTTGATAATATTAACACTATATTATGATTATATTATTATCATATTTAACTTTAAAAGAAAAAAGCTATTTTTTAAAGCTAAAGAATATCTTTACATATTTATTTATAACAGATGTCATATTTATTTCAAAATGTTTTTTCTCCTGTAGTTGATGAAGGCCCTAGTCCTCCAGAGCAGTTTACAGCTGTCAAATTGTCTGATTCTAGGTAAGCTTGAGTTGAACTATAACTAATAACCTTTATTTCTTAAATTTAATTTCATTCATTAAAAATTTCAATATCTAGCCAACAAGCCCACAGAGTAATTTTGATTTAAAAAGCAAAACAATTTTTTTGAAAAGTGTATTTTGTGACATTTTAAAAAATAACATTATTTACATATCCAGTAGATACTTAAGTATTATTAAATTACATTTGCAATAAAAGAATTAAAGCCCCAGATAAAGGCCTACATATGATTCCTAGCAGTATGTATTACTATGCTGGAAGAAATGAAGATTAATGTCATAGAGCAAATAAGATATAGATTAGAAAGCACATGTGAAGAAAAGAAACATAAAACAAAACCTATCAGCTGTTGCTACAATATTGAAATTCACTGGTCAAAAGTCAAGAGACAAACAGGATGATAGAAGAAAAGAATACTGTTGAAACCCCCGGAAAATGTTACATAGTCATAAAAACCAAAATAATTTATTCATTATATTTACAATCATTTTATAAGCTAACCTCTTTTATTCTCACAATGCAAAAGTATAGAATAAGATTTTGGGAGTAGATATAGAAATTGAATTTCAGTATTTAATAATGAGCTACATTAACATGATAATGATTTGCATTATATTATCATCAGCCTATAAATGAGTATAAAGTCAATTCCCTGGCATCACGGGGGATTGGTAAGCTAAAAAATTAGAAATTACATTTTTCTTTAAAAAAACCACATTAAGACAATTATGTCTGTATTTTCTTTGAATGGCCAGTAAGTATGGTGAATGACTTTTAAAGAAAAAAAGCAGCAGCAGAAGCAAAACCAATAAACACAAACTTCTTTACAAGTGAAAACAAAAAACATTATAAACAAAATAAATATTCAAATGAGGAAAATATATGCAATGACCATAATAGGCAATGAGTTTTTACACTCCATATCTATGTACAGGATTCATAACACTAAGAAAAACAGTAAGACCCCAGTAGAAAAATGGACAAAAAGATCATTTAAAAACTAAAATGGAAAAGTACAAATATCACTCAAAATAATAATTAAAATACAAATTAAATAGGATACCCTTTTTCTCCTATCAGATTTTCTAATTTTTTAAAAGGCATAATGTAAACAGATATATGGTAAAAAGATATTCTCCTAATCTGGGGTGAGAATGAAGTTGATACAAATTTTTTCTGGAAAGTAGTTTAGCAGTATATATAGAAACTTTAAAGTTAATGCCCTTCGAACCAGTAATTTCCCTAATAGGAATCTTTTCTAACAATAAAATAGCAATTTTATGTACAGAAAAGGTACTAGCATCACTATTTAAAACAGCAGAAAAAGTACATTTTAATACATCTATAACAGAACATTACATATCCATTAAAAGTAGTATATTTAAAAAATAATGAATTTAGAAAATGTTTGTTAATATATAATGCCTATAATAAAAAACTATAAAATTTACATATTGAACTACTCTGTCCAGTGTGATAGCCACTAGCCACATGTGGCTTTTGAACATTTGGACTAGTCTGAATTTTACACACACACACATATTTTTATGTTCCATGTTTAACTTTCTTTCTCTCAGTTTTTAACATTTGTTTATTTTATTTATCTGAAGAATTGCCCTGAAATCTGGCTATGGAAAATACCTTGGTATAAATTCAGATGGACTTGTTGTTGGGCGTTCAGATGCAATTGGACCAAGAGAACAATGGGAACCGGTCTTTCAAGATGTAAGTGCTAGTAATTATAAAAGTGGCTTGTCAATTTAATTAAGAGAAAGTCAAATTACTATAGACTAGTGATTACTAGTCGGGTAGGGGAAGAGCAGGGAGATAGGTGGGGTAAAGGGAGTCAAATATAGGGTTTAGGGGCAGGGTGAAATGGGTAAAGGGGATCAAATATATGGTAGCGGAAGGAAACTGGACTTTGGGTGGTAAACACACAATAGAATATACAGATGTCAAATGATAATGTACACCTGAAAATTATATGATTGTATTAACGAATGTTACCCCAATAAACTTAAAAATTTTTAAAAAGAAAGTCAAATATTATTCAGTCATAAGAAAAGTTGAAATACTGCCATTTACAACAACATGGATGGATCCTGAGATTATCATGCTAAGCAAAATATGTCAGATTGAAAAAGTTGAGAACCATATGATTTTACGCATATGTGGAATATAAAACTGAGCAACAAAAACAAGACAAACAAAAATTCATAAACACAGATAACAGTTTAATGGTTATCAGAGGGAAAGGTGGGGGAGGCAGATAAGAGTAAAGAGGTCAAATATATGGGAACAGAAGGATATTTGGGTGGTGAACACAAAATTCAGTATGCATGTGATGTATTATCGAACTATACACTTGAAACCTATATAATTTTATTAAACAATGTCACCCCCAATAAATTTAATTTAAATAAATAAGAAAAAAAACAATGTAAACTCATAACCTTAAAAAGATCTCCAAAAATAGTGCAACAAAAATAGCAGTAGTACTTTTGCTTATCATCATTTTTGTCCACCCTTAATACCTAGATTTGGGTCTCTTATTTTCTATTAAACAACCAGGACTCATTAGAGGGTGGCCAATTTTACATCTTGGGGAAGGAAATATCTTAGCAGAAATTAAGTATACTTTTATAAACATTAGAGACTGTGATAGTTCAGGAATATCTTAACAGAAATTAAGTATACTTTTATAAACATTAGAGACTGTATTAAGAGGACACAGCTTAAGGGGGCGGCCGCTGGCCAGGTTATGATAGTTTGTGCATAAAATAATAAATAGTGATAATAATTCATTGAAATTAATTTAGTCTGTAAACATTTTTGAGTTATAATGAAGCTCAAAGAGAAAAGCACATGGTATAGAAAAAATAGTTTTAATACAAAAGAAGGAATAAGATATTAATTTTTGTTAATTTTAGTAAGCAGGCAAGTTCTAAGATACTAGAATTTTGTTTTAAGTCTATGTCTGTTTATTTTGAATACATAAGTTCTTTTTTCTATTTGTGTAAGCAGTAAAGATTGAACAAAAATATATGAGAGCTAAACAATCCCCTAAAAGGTAGATACTATATCAAGAACAGGAAGGACCAGTGGGCACCAAGTGGAACAAGAGTTTGGTAGTGGGGTAGCAGCAGTGGTAATATACAATTACAAATGCAAAATAGATGATAAATTAGCCAAGATGATAAATTAGCCGAGCAAACCCCCTCCCCCACCAAAAAAAAAGACTTAATTACTTAGGTTTATTCCCTCATCCCCTAGGATAAAATCTCTGGTCACTAACTTTTAAACTCTTTTGACTCCAGTTCACTGAGAAAAACAATTTTACATGTAGCCCAGTAACACACATATGTATAAATGAAGCAAGGGTTGTACTTAACGATACTTATTTAACTATATGTTATATACTCTACTATTTTTTATTCTGTTTTACCTCTCTTTCTGTCTCCCCCCGCCCCCCCCCATTCTGGTCAAGACCTACTAAATTGATTTCATGAACCACTCATAGATTGCAACCCTTTGTAGATGATCCTACTAAATTACTGAGATACTTATGATAAAAATTATATCAACAGAAAAGGCCGTTATAAGGTCAGGATGATGAGTCACATATTACCACTCATTCAGAACTTAAGGGAAGTTCATTTCACTTTATGTTTGGGAAAGACACTAAGTTTTAAAAATTTAAATTAAATAAATGAAAGCAACTTAAAAGTCCCTGACGTGAAAAGTAAAATTTTATTGCAAAAAGTGACTCAGCTGAAAGGTCATCAGCCGAGGTTTAAATCACCTTGGACTATATAGCTCATATCTAAGCTCACTAAGAGTCATCGGATGACAGAAAACCCAGCCCTTGCCACCTTGAATAAGAAATTAAGTCAGATACATGTTATTAGCATTTTTGTTACTGGATATAAGGTTATTAATACATTTTGTAATAATTGCATTTTAATATTTTGTCTGAAGTTCCAAGTTATGCAAAGTTTTCCAAAAGAATCAACCATATACAAGTTAATAATTAAACCTTGTTTTGTAAGAGAGTTTAATTAATCAAATTTATAATCTAGGTTTAGATACACAAGAAACTTAGTTTTCAAAGTTTTATTTATCAGAATCAGTATAATACATTGAACATTAAACAACTAAAAAAGATATGAGTATTTCCATACACAAAAGTCCCTCAGACATTGATTCTTAAAGTTCTGAGCAGTAAATTAAAGGCACTAAAGACTAGCTTTTATATGATATATTCTTATCTTGTCTAATTATTAAGAAAAATTCTACTTAAAACAACTATTTGTATAAAGTATTGTGCATTATATTATAATTTTACATTGTCTTTAAAGCTAATTTTTTTCAAACTCAACTAAATTAGTTATATCCTCCATAGATCTTTTAAACCAAAGGAAAGAATTTTATTTTATCTAGTTAGATTTTAGTCCTACTAATAGAATATACTAAAAACATTTATTGTGGTTATCTTTGAGTAATAAGATTATAGGTGATTTTAGTTTTCTACATGTTTATTTTCCAGGTTTTCTCCAAATTCTTTTTTCCTGATTACTTTTAGACTCATGGAGAAAAAAATTAATTTAGTCTCAAAACATAAGAATTCTTTTGCAGGTATTCTCATAACTATTTTTTGTTTTTATTTTATTTAGGGGAAAATGGCTTTATTGGCCTCAAATAGTTGCTTTATTAGATGCAATGAAGCAGGTGATATAGAAGCAAAAAGTAAAACAGCAGGAGAAGAAGAAATGATAAAGGTAATCATGACATTTTTCTATAGACTAATACATATCTCCCATATGGTATGACTGTAGCTCTTTAAAATCTTGAATAGTCATTTACTATCACTTTAAAGGTTTATTTTATAACTTTTTATAGTATACTCCAAATAAACCCTTTTTTAAACTATAAATCCTAAAACTGATGGCTTATTTGCACCATGTGGTAGAAAAATTACCACATCTGTGAGTTACCTTGCTATTATTTCCATGTATTAGTATGTTTTTTCTGAATAGTTCCACATGCTTTTTAGGCCTATATTTTTTTCTTGCCTGCATTTTAAAATTTAATTTTTTAAGTAAATGATATGGTCATATAGTTCAAAAATTTTTCAATATATGTATATATAAACATGTTTCCCATCTCCTACAGGCTTTTAGAGTTTCTGTACAAAAATATGAATATGTTGTAATTTTCTACTTTTTTACACTAAAGTTAACTTCCTTTAGACATACTTTTAGACATTGATTTTTTTTTCCTTAACATTATATCTTAGAGATTTTCCTTTATCATTATGTAGAAAGTTTTCTCTCTTCCTTTTTATTAGCTACATAATAGTCCATTTTAGGGATGCACCATAATTTAATCAATTCTTTATAAATGGAAATTTAGGTTATTTCCAGTGTTTTGCTGTTACAAACAATGCTGCAACACATAACTTTGAAAATGCATCATTTTGTAGATGTGCAAGTATATCTGAGGATCAATTCCCAGAAGCAGAATTACAGGGTCAAGAAGTATAAGCATTTGTAATTTTGTTAAATACTGCCAAAATGCCCTCCATATGAGGTTGTACTAACTTACACTCCCAACATGTACGAGAAGGTGACTAGGTTGTTTTGAGTTTAATACTTGAGCATCTGTATTGCTATACAGTTTAAAATATAAAAGTCATAGAACTTTCAGAACTTTAGCCCGCAAATTCTGGATCTTTTGATGAATAAGTCAGTCTTTTTTTTACATGAGGAGAAACATGAAGCACAGAAAACAAATCCTTTTAATATATCAGTCACTAAGCCGGAAATAGAAGTCCTTTATTCCAGGCTAAATTCCCTAATCCTATTCTTTGTTTTACTTCATTATAAAAAGTTGTATAGACATCTTCATATCAAGGTAAAATTCTGAATAAAACTGGAAAGTGGATAAATCAGGTAGTTAACTAGAATTTGATGAAAGCCTTTAAGGTTCAATAACTGCCACCTCTTTAACGCACTGTTCTTTCTTTTTCTTAGCATTCCAATACTGAGCATTATGAACCACACCTGATTTGACTCTGCTGGAGAGTCACAGGTTGCAGCTTGTCTGATCCAAATTTACTGTGTGCAATGCATTAGAGAGGGCCAGAGGAAGACTCAAATAAATTGGGAGGCGGGGTTTCCTTTTCTGAAGTGGCCTTAATCCTTATAAGTAAAACGTAAAAATCCATGTTGCATTTTTCTCTGCTACCAGCATAATTTGAAAGCATCTCTCAAGTGTCTGTATATGCTTTGTGTTAAATTCCATGTCATATATTTGATTTTACTTTTTAAATGTCCCTGATTTTCATAATAGTCAGTTTTAGTCTTTTAGTATTCTTTTTACTTTGCAAAATATCACTTATCTTTTTAAAGAAGAATGATAATACCAGTAATTCTTCATCATTTAGCATTGATTGATGGAGAAAGAAATACCACTCTAGACAGCACGAAAATTAGAAATTTCAGTATTATATCTTCCGTAGTTTTCTCAAAAGACATTTTGCCACCAGGGTCACAAGTAATTTTCATCTAAAACTTAGATAATCCTGTTATATTTTGAAAAGTATAAGTCATAATATTTTTCAGGTACAGAAACAAAACTAAAGTAGCTGCAGACACTCTGCTGAATGGAGCACATGCACTACCTTCTTTAATCATAATGTTCTGTGAGATGGCTATTTCTTTTGAACTCCACAGACGAGGAAACAGCCTTTGCCCTTCCTTACATCCACACCTGTTTTAACCATTCAGTTCATGAAAGTCACACAGCTAGTTATGGTAGAGACAGGATGTGTTTCCAGGCCCAACTAACTCTAGAAACTACTCTGACATTTCATACTGCTCTGCTTCTCAGGTCATTAGAAAAATGCTGGTGGATTTCTAACTTACCTATTTTTAATTTTATTTATTTATATTTGATTTTATTGTATCTTGTTTAAATTATTTTTCATCTGGATTACATTATAAAAGTATGATTACCAAAGACACAATGCAAATATATGTGCCGTACTTTGCACTTATATGGGGGGAAAAAAACACTGTGCTGTATTTATCATGAATTACAACCGTTTTTTTATGTGAAGTATTTATCTATTTCCCTGGGTCTGTTTGGTTAATCAAGTACCTGGAAGCTCTGAGCCATGATAATCCAGGACTCTTTCCGCATTGCAGGCTCTGCTGGTGTTTCAGCCGTCCACCTTTATGGTGTGGCCTTATCTATAAGAACACGTTTCTTCTTGCCAAAAGTGGTGTGTCACAAGCCCTGGCCTGGAATTTCTCCAGGTCTTCTAGGACTGCTCTAACCAAAACTGTCGTACACATATAACTGGCACATGCATTATTGGTCACTGCTTTCTAAGCACTCTTGGAATTGAACTCTGAACTGCAAAGATCACTTTGGATATGTGGGTACTTTGGATTGCAAATTGCCAGTTTAAAAGACCTAAATACCATCCCCTTCCTTGCCTTACTCAGTTAATCCTAATTACTGTATCTGTATCCATTTATGGCATGTGATAGTAAATATCAGTCAAAACTTATGAGGATATAAGGAGGATATAAAACAAATTTTGTTATGTTAAATGTTTTAATGTATTTGGTAATAGCTTATGCAAAGTAAAATAGATACTATCAAACTTTCAGTATTATAAAATAAACACTAATAGGGATAACTTGGTCCTAAATTTACTTTGAGGCCAAAATTAATTAGTTCAATTATTGCCAAATTACTCAGCAGGATCTGATCTGTAAAACGTTTTTCAAATAATTTTTCTGTAGTGTTTCTGATGCAAGGGCTCTAGAGAAACATATCATAGCAATTATTTATACAAATTATATATATAAATACATCTAGAACCTGTCTTTTTCTGTATCTAATTGCTCAGTAAGTTAATTCTCTTTTGCATAAGAAATCACCTAGAATGTTTTTATGTAATAAGTAAAGTGAGGAAGGAGTAAGATAAATGTGTCACTTGTTGGGTTCTCATCTTGAATATCCAGATTAGATCCTGTGCTGAAAGAGAAACTAAGAAAAAAGATGATATTCCTGAAGAAGACAAAGGAAATGTTAAACAGTGTGAAATCAATTATGTGTATGTATTCTTTTCCTTTTAAACCTCCAGATTTGACAGGGAAGTGCTTCTCGGGGAGCCTAAAATACAATACCTGAAGGACAGGAAGAGACAGCAGAATGTAAACTCTAGAACAAAGCACCGAGCTAAATGCTTTCCTTTTCTCAAGCCTTCAGTTTCCCTAATTATCCTGCTAGCTTTCAAAGCTAAAGTCACTTGAGTTAGTCTATTCTTCCTATTAATTAATAGAATGGCTATAACTTAATGTCAGTACATAATGCCAACCACATACTGTTCCATAGCCAGGACACAGGGGACTCCAGCCAACATTCCCTGGTAGAAGTGAGGCTTTGTTTCTTCAGGGAAGAAGACACAGTGATGAATCTTGAACATAAGCAGAATATTGCCTTTGGAAAGAAGAGAAAATTAAGGAAACTAACATATAACATTTGAATGTCCTGTTAATGACTCAACTTCTGTGACAGACGTTTTATATATCTCATTGACATCTGATATTTAAAGACAAGATGTCCAAACAGTTTAATTAATTGAATATTTTCTACTTTACTTCTTGAATAATTTAATCAGTTGTTTATTCTATGCTATATGGATTATGCTGCCCGCTATTAAATATTTTTATTTCTTAAAAAAAAAGAAATCGAGGCTTTGTACAGCTACCCAAACAGCTGCCCTTTTGATGCACACTGAGGTCATCTTTGTAGTTGAAAAGCTCTATGTTTTTAAAGAAATACAATTAGATGTTTTTTAATAAATGAAAAACATTTTTAAATTTTAAGTTCATTAGTAAACATGTAATCAAAGTTTGAGATATTTTTCAAGAAAGACATTTTCTTAACAGGAAGAAATTTCAAAGCTTCCAAGACCACAAACTTAAAATAAGTAAAGAAGACAGTAAAATTCTTAAAAAGGCCCGGAAAGATGGATTTTTGCATGAAACACTTCTGGATAGGTAGGTATATTTTTACTTATTTTCAGCTACTTTCAGTTGCCAGTAGAAGTGGTATATATAAAAACTATGTTCTTTTTGGATTATTATAGTTTTCAAATTTTTGTCTTTATTTCTAATTTGTGAATATAGTAATATTACCTAAAAATGACATAAGTTTGGGAAAAGACAACCAAAAAAGAATATATAAAAAAGCCAGATTCCAAGTACTTACATATTTTGCTATAAGAAATTAAGATTTAACTGATCTTCATAACTTTATTTTGATATTGCCATCATCTTTTTATAACTATTAGAACAAAGGCTAGGAAGAAGTAGTTTGCCAAATTTCAAAATTCAGTGGGTTCTATTAGAATAGTAGAGTTCTTAAAAATTAAATGAAAATAGTTTTAATATTAGTAAGTGTAAAATTAAATAAATGAAAGTGAAGCACTTTTATTAAGTTGAATTCAGATGTGTGAAGGATAGTTATCATAGTACATTATTAATATTTATTTATTACTATTTCTATTTAGGTAAGTAATGTCCTAGATTAAACATAAAAAAAAATAGAGAGGTTTAGCTGTGAGCTTACAACTATAAATCAAATAAGTGCCAAATTAAAAGAGAAATTGGTAATCTACTGCCACTTATTCAAGTCCTGTGTTGCAAAATTAGCCCTTTAAAACATTTCTTTACATTACTTGATAAAGACAATGGTTTATCATATATTCCTGTTAACTAGTTGATCAAATTTTTACCTTAAGTCAGTAAATGATGTAAGAATTTTTTCCACTTCAGCAAATTAGCATATAGTATCTAGTTCTAAGAAATCAAGAAAGGGATATAAAAATAATCAGATTATAGACTCAAAAGAAATAGGAGATCTGTGTCCTATAACTTTTATCACTTATGAAAATATAACATTGCCACTCTTTTAAATAGAAGTTGAGGGCATGCTTAAATTCAGAGGTAATTAAAATTGCTATTGTGATTGAAAAAAGTCCTTAGGCTATATTTGTTGGAGATTAGGAAAAGAATTTCATAAGAATAGAATCCATTTAGTATAAAACATAAAATTGAAAGGTAAAATTTTAATTAAAATATTTTAATATAAATGTTATAGTAATATAATAACCAAAGTTGAGAACAGTTTCTAAACATGAATTTATATTTAGCAGCAATGACTATATATAGCATGTTTTACATAGATTAATTTTTATTATTTGTCTTTGTTTAAACAGGAGAGCCAAATTGAAAGCTGATAGATACTGCAAATGACCAGGATTTTTATGGGTTTTTTTCTTTCTTTCTTTCTTTTCTGAATAAAATAATCATTAGAAATGTTTTTGCAGAGTTCTTGGGTTGTTATGGAATTATTGCTGAACTAATAGCTAGTTTAACCAAGATTAATTAATCAACTTTAATTGAGATTCTCCATGGGTATACTTTTTAGTTAATATGGAAATGAAACTTAGAATACACACTTAAAATCCCACAGTTTTTTTCTTTTCTGGATTTCTTGTCATAAATGAGGTGCTACTCTATGAAACATGTTTCTTGTGCAGCTTACTTCTGGAATCCATCTTAACTGCTTTACAGTCTTCCTTTACATTACTTGATACAATAGATGCTTAATCGGTACCTTTAAAAGAAAGTGAGAAACTCCCAGTCCAGTTTGCTAGCAGGCTTTGATTCTACCTCTTAAATATTGCCCAAATCACATACAAGCCAAAAAAATATGAGAACAAATGGGCTGAGCAGAGAGAAAGAAATCAGGCAGTGAAATGGGAACAGAAAACATTACAAAAGAGCGAGTAGGCTCAGAATGGAGGACGAGAGTAAAATTAAGGAAATCCCCTACTTAGGACAGTTGAGCCACAATGGACTTTTATGTACTCAATGCTCTCATACTCGTGTGGGATGGGACGGGAGCTATTAAAGAGGTTCAGACACGAAGCATTGTTGACATCTGCTACGCCAACCCTGTTTTATTCCTAGCCTGTCTTTCTGAGCCCCTGAACACAGTATTCCAGATGTCATCTAACTCTGTGAGTGTTTCAGGTTCCAGATTGTGTATCAGATGATGCCTAGACTTCTGATATACAACCTGGATTCTGCTTCAGAAGGACTTAGGTTAGCTGAAGCACCTGTATGTTTTCACAATTTCACATTGATGCCAGTGCACAGCTGGGATTGAGAGCTGGCCTGAGCTGCCAGACCTTGTCTAGTTCTCAGCCTTTATATTTTATCTGTCACCAGCTCCAGTTACATGGCCTCTCTACAGCAAGATAGCTAAGCTACCAATATCAACCTTATAAAGGAGCTCTTGCCCGAATTGGCCATCTAGCCTGAATTGGCACTCCAGTTCCAATAGCTGGATATTCCTCCATTTGTGTTCTTTTTCTGATTCTTAGATTGGGGACATGTTTACTCCTCTGACCCTCCAACCCAGTGGTTCTCAACCAGGGGCGATTTTGTCTCCCAGGGAACATTTCACAATGTCTGAAGACATTTTTGGTTGTCACAGCTAGGAGAAGAGATTCTATTAGCATCTAGAGAGTTAGAGACGAGGGATGCTGCTAAACATCCTACAATGTACAGGACAGTATCTCCCCACAACAAAGAATTATCCAGCCCACAATGCCAATATTGCCAAGGTTGTAAAACCTGCCCTAGGACTTAGTCTACTCTTTGCTTCTGCCAGATCCCCCGCCCCTAAAAATAAATAGTAGTTCAAATTTATACACCTAAGAATCACCTAGGGTACCCGTAGATTTCCAAGACCCATCCCTACAGATGGAGGCTTAGCCAGTCCAGGATTGAGCCCCAAAACTGACATTTTAACAAGGTAATTCTGAAGCAAGTGACCTAAACCAGACTTTGAGAAACACTACCCTCAAGAGATTAAAGTCTTGTCTCCAACACTAGCTCGGTACCTAAGGCCATCTGCTACTGATCAATTTCCCTGGAACAAACATTCTGTCTGGATTTCTGAATATAGTGCATTCCTGGATTTCTTGTCACCATGCTTGCCTTCATATTCCCCCAGTTCCTGCACCCATTCCAGAGAGCAGAATTATTTACAGAACTGATTCGTGACAACTAGGAAGATAACATTTAAAATATGTATTGCCTGCCCTCATGGAGTTTATACACTAGTGAAGGAGGACAACAAATGAATAAAAAATGAATAAAAAAAAGTTGCAGGTGACAGATAAGTGTTCCTTCCCTGTTTATATCATTGCACTTTATACAAACCTCAGTTATAGCACTGAAGTCATTCTGGGAGAGTGGCAGAGGTCAGGAATGAATGCATATAATATTTATATACCATCTGGCCACATTTTTCCATCTTATATATGAGTTTATCATGAGAAATTTTGTTTAAGCACTATCAAAATTTGGCTAACCATTTTCCTGATTTACCAGTCCGCTAACCTTATCTAAAAGAAGGTTATGCAGGGAAAGACAAATACCACATGATTTCACTTAAATGTGGTATCTAAGAAACAAAGTGAAACAAGACTCATACAGAGAACAAACATGGTTGGCAGGGGAAAGGGAGTAGGAAGGAAAAGAGAAATAGGTGAAGGTTATTAAGAGGTACAAACTTCCTGTTATAAATAAGTCATGGGGATGCAATGCACAATGTAGGGAATACAGTCAATAATATAATAATATGACAGTTGATAAATTAAATATGGTAACTAGACTTATGGTAATCATTTTGTAATGTATGAAAGTATCGAATCACTATGTTGTACACTTGAAACTAATATGATATTGTATGTCAATTATAATTTCAATTTTTTAATTAATATATAATGAAAGCACTAACCAAAGAAAAACTTCCTCACACCCAACTTTGCTCACATTTTTCAGATTAGATGATTTCAGTTTTTCTATCTTCGGGTTTACTGACCTACTATCTTACCATCTTCAAACTGCTGTAAAACTCATCTGGTGATTCTTTTAATTTCAGACACTTTCACTTCTAGAATCCATTTTATCCTGTTGTTATTGTCATAGTTTCCTTTCTCTGTGGAAACTTCTTATTCATTCATTGGAAAGGTTTGGGGAGGGTTGTTTTTGTTTGGGGGCAGAGTTATAATAGCTACTTTAAAAATCTTTGTCCACTAATTCCCACATCTGAGTCATCTAGGGGTCGGTCTCCACCAATTGCCTTTTGAGTGTGTTTCTTCATATGTCTGATATAACTAGATTGTATTCTGGACATTGTGAATAATATGTTGTAGAAACTGGATTCTGCTTTGTTCTTCCAAAGAATTTTTTGTTTTTTGTTTGTATAATAGGCAGTTAATTTGGTTGATCTCAAGCTCCAAATTCTGATTTCCCCAATGATGGGCAACAGCTGAAATCTCTATTCAGTTCTTTTTGTTTTAGCAGGGCTGGTTGAAGTCTTCCCCAAGGATGAGATCAGTGAGAGATGTGGACAATGTGGCTACACTGTGGCTCTCTCCTATTCAGGATTTCCTCCTCCCTTTCCAGATTCTTTGGTCGCTCCAAACGAACTCTTTCCTCTGATTCCTCAACTAGTAAAACTTAAGGTTTCTATATGAGTTTTAATTATTCTTAGTGACAGTGGTTGGAGCCTGTTCTAAGTTGAAAAGAGTTAAAAAAAAAAATACAATTCCCTCCCTACTGGCGTTAACTCCACTCAAGTTCTACAAGCTTTTGTTCACTCTTCATTCCCTTTAGATAATTTGAAATATTTTGTCCAAAGTTTAAGTTTTTGTATGAGAAGGTAAGTGTAGTACAACCTACTCCACCATAACTCGCTCAGACTCTTCATCAGTTCCTTGCCCTCTCCTCCCCAAATTAAGCACCTGCCTGCACTTTCCTAGATACAGATACAAAACTCTAACATCATACACAAAATTAATTTAAAAATTATTAAAATAAATGAATACATTCATACATCATAAAATAGGCCTGAATTTCTCAAACGCATTCATCAAACAAGATAACCCAGCAGCCACCAAAATACTATGGATTTCCTGGGCCAGCCCTAGTACAGATGCTAAATAGTTCATGGCTTCAACTCGCTATTAAGGTAATTGTATTTATTCAGTTATTCTAAATGCTATGAGACAGAAGAACATATTAAAATGTGTAGCTTAATACCATATTTTATTAACCATACTATTATGACATGATAGTTTTCATAACAAATGAGAAATCAAAAATAACTTTCTTTTCGTGACATTATTCTTTCATGGTATTGTCATAATAATATTAGCCATCAATAATATTAGCCTGTGAGGCTTAATGCAGGTAAGCTCCATTAAAATTTTTTCTGGCTCATACATATTGAATTCCACTTCATTTAATGAAAAATTAGAAACAAATGAAAAAAAGAAAAATTCCATATTTCCCCTTTCCTCACCCACCTATTAGTTACAATGTTTTTGAAAGTGTGTATTTCATTAAGGGAATTTGGTGGTATTAAGGCAGGTTTTGCTTTTTGACATTTCTTCTGTACTATACCCCAAGAAAATATCTAGCACTATTTGTTGCACTTCTGTTTAATTTTATGCCACTGGGATACTTGTCTTAAATATTATTGAGGCTTATTTTCTATGATGGAGAAACAGTATGCATTCTTTCTATGTAGCCTTGTGTTTCAACACTGCCTTTGTATTTTATAAAAAATATATGAAATACATTTTCAATATTTCTTTTCAGAGTATATACCAAGAACTTATAAATTAAAATCTGCAGGTGTTTTTCTTACAGTGCTTTACAAATCTAATAAGGTTTTGCAATCCTGTCCTGAGTGCTGCTACTAGAAAACCAGGACTGTAGCACTACTTGTTCGGTTTATTCTTCCATCATGCAGTTTCCTCATTCCGCTGGTCCTTAGGTACTAAGTGGAATCGTAAGGAGAGAACAAAGAAAACAGAGCACATTTCTTTAGAAAAGTAGAGACTTAAATATAAGTAAGACTCCAGAGTAAAGGAATGGAGTCATAACCTCTAACCTTAATTCCCTGCCACCTGACAAATACATAGAAAATGTATATCGCCGCAGTCAATTACATAGAAAATGAATAGCAATGCTTTAAGCGTCTGAAGTCTTATTTTTTTCTTTATTATCCCTTATGTTTGTATCACTAAGTATTAGTCCCTATTTTCTTGTCCTGCTGCTAAATATATTTCCCCCAAAGCACTTTTTTCTTTTTCTTTCTTTCTTTCTTTCTTTCTTTCTTTCTTTCTTTCTTTCTTTCTTTCTTTCTTTCTTTTTCTTTCTTTCTTTCTTCTTTCTTCCTTTTTTCTTTCTTTTTTCTTTCTTTCTCTTTCTTTCCTTTTCTTTTCTTTTTTCTTTTCT